GTGGGCAAATGTGACATATGCCCTCTCTAATGGACTGTCTGCAAAACACCTGGCATTGCCTAGGGACACAGAGGTGGGTTCAGGCACAGTGCCAGACTTGCTGTCCTTGTGTGTGTGTGTGTGTGTGTGTGCGCGCGCGCGCGCGCGTGCGCATGCAGATGCCCATGGAGGACATTCTTTCACCTCAAGAAAAAAATGAACAGCATAGGAATTTGAGACTAAATCACGCTATCATGTCACATTTGTGAACAGGGTTTTGCTTCTCACATTCCATTTTTAGGGACTCCCAAACACTGCTAACCTTCCAGGTTATACCACTTAATCCTCATAGGAAGTCTTTAGGGAGTTACGATAACCTGCACTTACCCTTTTGGGGTTCCTGAATCAGACATGAGATGTTAAGCAATGCTCCTGAAGTCAGAGACAAAAGCAGGATCCAAGTGGAAGACTGTTGATCCCAAGGCTCTGAACCATCCTGTGCCCCTTCACTTTCTTCATATTGCCAGCATCTGCTCCCATCCCCGTACCCTATCTCCACCCTCACCCAGGCCAGCGCCTCAGAAATCTGATGCTTTTAAACATTTAAGTATCCAAGATGTCTGATTGCTAGTGTTCTGGCTGTTCGTTTGGTTGGCTGGTCATTTTTTTTTTTTAAATTACACAACTTTTGTAAGCCCCAAGTCTAGCTAAGCCAGTGTCTCCTGATGTCAGCTGACTATGAGGTTGATATCGGGGCATGCGTTCCTTCCAGATGTCCACTTAGAGCTTCACACTGAAGCCCATCTACAGCCCTTCCCCATCAAATCAGTTTTCCTTCCACAGCAAAGGACACAAGACACTAGAAGACACCACACGGGGATTCAGAGCAAACGTGGAAGAGACCGAGCCGAGAATCAGAAGGAACTCTTCATACAGATGGTCCCTCTAGAGCGTTTGAAGGCCCAGGAGGGAGTCTGCAGACCAAGAACACAAGTGTGTGGGTCTCTGGTTCTTCCTTGAATCTTTCCTGGCTGGAGGCTGGAGCCAGTTCAGAGAAACACCAGGGAGCTATGTGAACAATGCCCTTGATGGAAGCCGAGTTTCGAGGAAAGTCTACAGCAAACCCTCACTGTGGGTTTTCTGGAAGAAAGCTATTTTTAGAGAAATTGGCTCCGGCATACGAGGAGACCAGCCCATACTTCTCTGAAAAAAAAAAAATCTAAGAGAGTCTGCCAGGTTGCTTTGCATGAGAGATAGGAACTCCTTCCAAATGTCGGGAGTGTGGACCGTTTCCCAAGGTTAAGACGATTTAAAAGAATCTGCAATGGCTATGGACTGAGAAAAGGAAGTGGGGAGACTGGCACCATGCCAAGCATTCCTAAGTGGGGAGATATGAATCTGGATTATAGGTGGCCATGGGCAAGAGGTAGAACTCTTGACATTAAAGAGAAGGCCAAGTTCCGACGTAGTCTGGGCTGATAAATCAAGCACACCTTTTCTGCTGAGGTGCATCCTGCCGTTTCAACTCTGCTCCTCTCTCCTCTCATCGCTCACCTCCTGGTGTTCTATCACCGCTACAAGGACATACTCCAGCTGCCTCAGAGACTCTGGGCTAACACAGAGGTCCCCAAGCCCGGGCACCACTGGTGTTCTCTACCACACACTCTCTCTTACACATCACCGTTTAAACTACTCCCCTGAACCACAGGGACTTAATTCATCCGCTTTAATCTCTCAGCTTCATTTTATCACAGAGGAGAACGAGGCAAGCGCAGCGAGAGAAGTCCTGTGTGATCCATCTGGTAGACGGTGGGTGCCCAATAAGCAGGGACAACCTTATTACCATGTCTGCATATATTTGCATGAAGATGAGCTACTCTCAAGTTCAAGTCACACCGTATGTGGCTAGCCTCTGTCTACAATCAATCCTCCTGCCCATAACTCTTAAAAGAAGCGACTGTCTTCATGGAGGCCCCTGTTCAGTAGGTGCCTCCGAGGATATGCTTTTGGACTCTTGTCGCCACTAAGAATGAAAGTGGTAGTAATACCTCAGTGGCTATGGTTGGGGACAATGATTATCGTTAACAGTATATCTTCTGTGCCGGACACAATGCCAAGCATCTTGCAGTACGTGCCATTTACGAAGCACCGAGGAAGTACCATCAGCCTCCGCAGTTCCCAGATGAGAGAAGGAAGACTCAGCAAAGTTATTTGCCAATGGCTACGAGGCAAGGCCAGAAGTAGCATGGGGGTCTGCTGGAGCACACCACCTTAACCTCCACATAGTTGTGGTGGGGTCTGCTGGAGCATACTGTCATAACCACCATGTGGTTGCTGTTCATCTTTGGAAACACCCTACCTAGGCTGTCCATTCCTGGACTTTCTGATCTTATAAACTAGGTCATTACTTTTTATAAACTATCCAGAAAAGGCAATCTATATGTATGCATATAATATAATGCATACAGATACTCAGTGATAACAGTAAAAAGAAGGAAGTCTGGAAGTTTTAAGGATGTTGCATTAAAATGACATTTTTGCTCAATTAAAAAAACTATCACATTGTTCTTTGCTTTATTCCTTTAACTTATAGTGGTTAAAATCTCAGGAATCATCTCATATTAACATCCTAGTTTGTCAACGTTGGTTTTAATAGTCAATGTCCATATGAGAGTCCAGTCACCCGGGTGTGACTGGCCAGTATAGTGTACACTTTTAATGTAGGCACCTGCAGTTTTGAACTTCTGGAAACGTGAGCTGACCTGTGAGGTCCACATTTGGGGACATATGGGAAGCTGGAAAGGAGGGGAGACAGATTGGAATGTGGCAGCATCCCTGGATACACCCTGATGGTTTAACTTGGCCCCTTCCTTCAGTCTGTAAGTTAGCGTCTTGGCCAAGAGGAAGGTCTCTGGGCACCAAAGAACAAGATATAAAACTTGGTAGGTAGAAGAGGAGAAGAACAGAAGAAGTCTGGGGCGAGCCATGGGAATCTGCAAGGATGTGAGGGCAGGCAGGTGTTCTCACCAGGACACCCACCTTGAGAGGGCCAAAGTCCCACCTGACATGGGCAGAGGCCTCTGAGAAAGGAAAGCACAGAGTTAACGAGGCAGAGGAAGACACGGCAGTGAGAGAGATGTGGGAAAGTCATGGGGCTGGGGAGAAAAAGGAAAAGGAACCAAGAAGGGAGCCAATGATGATGAGAAAAGCAGGAACGGATGAACAAGAGGGAGAAGCCAGAAGGAGAGAGGCGGGCCAGGGCTCTGCACACTCCAGAAGAGGGCACTCTCCAGCTCCAGGGCACAGCGATGTGGACAGCTATGGCGGCGGACCACGGCCAACACACGGCTGGAAGGCACTTGTATGATGGCCTCACATGGCGTGGATAGCAAAAAGCCTTCCCCACTCACCAGCTCGTGCCTGCGGTAAGTGGTATAGGCAAACCTGTGCTCTCTGGGGCTGGGGCAGAGAATCGAGGAAGAGGTGGTAATGGAAAGAAGAGCAAGCCAGGACTCCACACTGGGAGACACACGCTTCTTCCTATCTCAACCAGGGTGCAACCCAAGTCCTTAACCTGCCCCATGGTCTGGTCCCCGTTTCCCCTCTGACCTTAGTTCCTGCTACCTCCGCCTTGTTTACTCCACTTCAGTCACAATGGCCTCCTGGTGTGCCAGACACACTTGTACCCCAGGGCCTTTGCACACAACACTCCCCCCACCTCTACTGATCTGACTCCAGAGGTCAATCTTGTTAACCCTTTCGCTTGCTTCAGCTCCTTTCCTGGCTTCATTTTTTTCTTCTCCACATACCAGGCACTTTTGGACCTGACTTTATTATTTGATCTCTCTAGAACATACAGGCCACAGCAGCAGACATCCTGTCTACACTGTGTGTTGCTGCCGCACAGACACCCAGAAGAAGCGGTGAGTGGACCGAGTATTGGAATGAGTTGAGAACAGAAGTGTATGACCAGGGGAGGTGGAGGCAGAGACAGAGCAGGAGGGGGTGGTTATGCAGCTGAGGGGCCAGGGAATTTATGACTTTCATTTTGAGGGATTTCATCCCATGTTGTTTCGGAGCCTCCATCAAATGCTAACGGGAAAAATAGGAAAAGAAACAACCTTTAAGTGACCCTTTAAGAGCTGGCTTGAGGTCAATGCTGACCATACCCTACTCATCCTAGAATGAGACAATGGCCATTTTCTAATTCACGAGGGAAGATGAACAAGGCTGAGCCATGAGGATACATCCGACTCCAGAGTCTCACATTTGTACACACGCATCAACACACACAACCTTGTCACTTTATCTGAAGAGCTAATCTAAAGGACAAAAATCTCATAGGAATGATACAGAGCTACGGAACCAGGTCAACGTTCTCCTTCCTCTGATACTGCCACCACTGTATAGTCCCTTGTCTCTGTACGGAGGCCTTCACTAAGTGCTCACATACAGTATTTCATCTTGTTTTCACGAAGATCCACCAAAATTTAACACTACAATTATCAGGTTATCACTGGTGAGAAAACCAAAGAAAACATGGAGAACTAGTTTACCAAATGCCAAACAGACAGACAGTATACAGGAGATCCAGGGTACAGAATCCATCTGACCCCAGGCAGGGACTGACAGCTTGCTGAGGAGGACCAGGCAGAATACATTTTAGGTTATGAGCACCTTGCAATCTTTGGTCATAACTATTTATTGCATACTGCCCCGAGGGACCAGACAAAGACATTATAAACAAACCGGGATGCATGTGTCCCAATAAAACTTTATTTGTAACATAGATGTTAGGTGTATCTCCTATAGGCTGTAGGTTGATGACACTATTCTTGAGTCCATGTTCTTGATCACTGAGTCATTATACTGATAAAAACCTAGAAGCCTAGAGAAGAGGTTCCTGAGAGTTTTTAAATGGCTACAGTTAACAGCCCAACATTCTGGTAGTCTACTGAGGGACTGCCTGAGTCAGAGAGGTGACCTAATTAGGGATAGAGGAACGGCAAATGGGCACTTACATTTCCACAATGCCCTCTGGCAGGTTGGCAGGGATCTCTGTCAGTCCCTTCCCCCGGCAGTCCACGATGTTATTACTGCATGTGCAAGCAGAAGGGCAGGACAGGGAGTTGGCATTGCAGGACGGAGCCTCAGAGTGGGGACCTGTGGAGCCAGAACATAACGGTCAACTCACGTCAGTATTAGGAGCCTCCTGGCGTTGAGCCTCCTGATCAGCTTCCCCAGGATGCAGCTTTTGTGATAAGCAATCTGGTGAATTCCCATCAGTGGACACAAGAGAGGGTCTGGCCTTGACCCCACTGTGTGTGGGTCATCTCACCTGCTTTATTATCCCATCATCCTGCTGCTTCTACAGAAAGAGGCATTCCGAGCATGCCCCACATATGGAACGATGCCATCGGAATCTGAAGGGCACACACACAACGACCGCTTTCTCTGTGTGCCCAGCATCTGAACGATCCCTTGGAGTTTTTGTTTACATCTGGTGGCAGGATGCTGATGGCAGACACCACTTCCATGCTAGGGCTGAAAGTCACTGGTGTCACAGCCAAGCAGGAGGCTAAAATGTGGCAGAATTTCTCCCACTGCAGCATTGATCTTGCCAAAATATCAGTATATTGACCAGAAGTGACACCCAAGCCATATCCAAGTGGCTTTTGTGTCCAGGGGAGAGTCAAATGAAACTTACTAGATAAGAGGCGAGTAAGTCACTACATATTTTGGAATCCGCTTTTCACTTTGTTTGAGGTGAGAATCAGTGTACATTTAAACGTGATTAAAAGCCCAAGCATATGGTATCTCAGGAGTTTAGTTTGAAGACAAAACATAGATTTTTGCTACTATTCAGGATTCAAAGACTCATGAACCCCATGACTTCCTTTGGTCGTCAGGTCAAGCCCTAAATGCAAGACACACATTGAAATGTAAGGACACCAGCAAAATTCTCCTGCTTTGATTGCCACCTCCCAGTGAGGTAAGACTCTCAACTGTGTGGTTTGTTTTTCACATGTGGACCTGGCTCAGTGGCATCCTCGGTCTTTAGCCTGTGGTCTTTGGATGGAGCCAGCAACTGGCATCTCAATGTCTTTTCGTATCTCCTTCTGAGTGAAGCAAGCTCAGATGAACTCTGCATCTTCGCTCACTGCTCAAACACAGAAGCTCAGGCTTGGCACTTTTGGATACAGAGTAAACAGGAAAGATGAGAAAAAAAATCTGCAGGGGAAAAAGACTTTGGTTTGGCCTGTGTTCACTGGAGAAACTGAATCCTGTGTGAGTCCTGTGTCTTGTTACAGGGGTTGAATGAAGCGATCAGCTGAGCCTGGGGCAAGTCCTCATCTGGACACTAAAGTTCTAGGTGAAGAATTCCATACCTCACACCCAGGACAGCCCATGGCCTCCTTTCTGTAGAAGCTCAAATTGTGCCTAAAGCTCAACCTAGAATGCTGTTCTTCCCAGAAATGTCCACCCAATGACCCAAGACTCCTACTGCCCTGTACCTCATACCAACACACAAAACCAAAAAAAACTTAAAGACAGCATCTTAACCAAGATGCCTGACAAAATGTGTAGACAACAAGAACTTCAGAGACACCAGTGGCACACTAGAGGATTCCAAAGGGACCATGGAACATGTCATACAGCTGATGACTTACACTAACACCCAAACTCAAACATGCTCTTAGAGAGGAGGGAATCTGCCTTTATTGCAAAGCAAGAGAAGTCTTTCTATTTCTGAGAAAGAGGCCAAGCAGGAAGCCAGCCTGGAGGAGCCTGGGATCAGGTGCCAGCAGGTGTGTGGCTGCAACTGGCAGCTGTGGAGTACCACAGAGCAGGTTTGGATCTTAGTCCTCTATTTTATTTGTGCTTCTTTATGCCTCAGTTTCCCTCACCTGGAAAATGGCGGGAGTAGGGGGAATCACTGTACCTAACCTAGAGTACGGCTTTGCTGTGAGGCAGAGGCAGCTGGTGGATAAAGACCGTTTAGAAGGATGCCTGACAGGGACCATGCTGTTGGGTCTTTTCTCTCTCCAACTGTCTGAGAGTTCCTGGACGAGCGGCAGAGCTGAGCTTTTCCGCTCCCATCTCCGCAGATGAGGAGTTGGGAAGGCAGGAATTCTGAGGTCCTCGGTGGGGCTGCTAAGCCACCTGACCTTCAGAACAATGGGATGCTGTGGGTGTGGGACACCTTGAGGTGTGTTTTATTCTCACTTCTTCCTGCAAACGTACAGAGGGTCCAGCATGGAGGGACCCGTCCTATCACCCTCATTAGTACGAGGAAGCCTGGGAACAGCTGGCCTTGGATGCCAGGGCCTTTGAAGTGTAGATGACTTTCCCCGAGGGAAACTGCCAGACCAGAGCTTCTACATCAAGGGGTAAATGCACATGACTGAGCTAGGAGAACTGCCACACCCTGGATACCTTCCTGTAGGGGGAAACGCTGGTCTGAGTCTGGCAACTCCACCCATTCAGGCAGAAGGATCTGAGGACGGCCTTTGATCAGGCAAAATACTACTTATAAAGTATGTGTCAGAAAAGCTGGGGTGGGGGAAGGCATCAAATTCAAGGGCTCCGTTGGCAACAAGAGCTTGTGACATGGAGTTTTTCAAAGGTGCCCCTCTGACTTCTGTGTCGAAATGAATTAATTCTCAACCAGACTTAGGTAGCAGCCCCCTGGGAACGGCCTGGGTCTTCCCTGGGTGGCTCTGAGTCAGCTGGTGGTATACATTATGTTTCAAGGCATGTTGTCAAGGCAAAAAGAAAAAAAAAAAACTTTAAAAAAAGATTCCTTAACCAGGTCACTAACAACACCTTTAATTACACGAGAAAAACGATGGTAATTATAGCCTCTGTCAGCACCCTGGGCTGGCAGCTCCCCAGGCAGGCATCCACCATCCTCCTGTGGGGAGGCCCATGCCTCCTTGTTTAAACACTCCAGGTTTCAATCTGATTGAAAGACAGATTCCCTCCCTCTGCAAGCACACCCCTCTGATGAATGACTGAAGAACCAGGTCCAGTCCCCTAAAGGCCTGGGTGTCTGTAAGTGATGGCAGAAGTCCCAACCCTTTGCCGTCTCTGGGCCGACTGAGAATGTACATTCTATACCGCAAAGACCTACTGTTATATTCTCACTGCCTACAACAGACCTCAGCACAGAATGAACTTAATAGACACACTTTAGATAAAAAAGGATGGGCACATGAACGAACTGGCTTAGGGGCCTGGAAGAGGTGGGGAGAATGTCCCCATGCTCCAGAGGTGGGAGCTACTTCTGGATGTCCCTGAGGAAAGGCTCCCTGAGTTCTGAGTGTCCTGGCTCGGGGAGGCGGGTTCAGGTGTTGAGTAGGAGATGGAGTGGCCATGGAAGACGGGACCTCTTCCTGACATTCACCCTCTCTACTGCAGTTCAGTGCTAGCGAAGCCCATTGCCCAGTGCATGGCCTGGTGCCTTGAGGAGCAGGAGAGCAGTGCATGGACAATGGAAACACCAGCCCTTCCTTACATGACACAAACAGCAGGGGTTCCCAGAAACCAGGAGCATGAGGATGGGGAGGATGAAGCAGGAATGGTCCCCAGCTAAACCTCTCCTCAGAAAGGTTGCTGTGGCTGTGGGCACAGGCACAGCAGTGCATTAGTGATCCCACCTGGGCTGACCATACAGGTCCTCTGCTAGTGCCCAGAGAGAAGGAAGTGGGGTCCATGACTAGAAGCTGCTCTCTGCTCAGGCATCACTTCATCTCTGCTCTTCTCCTAACTGGACAAATAGGATGGTCTAGAATTGCAAGGCCCAGGCTTGTCTGTCCAGATGATGGACAAAGATCGCCGGCTTTGGTCTTGGATGGGCCCCTGGAGATGCCAAGAGTGGCCACCTTTCTCCTAATAGCAGCCAGCATCCATGAATGAAGACTACACTGCGTTCAATGGCCTGAATATATGATACCACTTGATCTTCAATGAACCTGCGATCCAAACTCTACTTCTGTCCTTTTCGTTACACTGATGACGTACCCACAAAGTACAAAGTTAAAGAGACTACCTAAGACCACAGACCTGGAGAACAACGCGATTCTCACGTCTGGCTGAACGCTTTCCTGTCTCTTCTTGGGAAAAAAAATAACCCCACCTTAAATATTGCTTTTCAATTGCCACAGAATTGAAAGTCCATGGAGCTTGGGAACCTCAGGAGGAAGGAGGAGGAGCCGAGACATGGACTGTGTAAGCTACACTGGCAAGGGGCGAACACTCTCGTGTTTCTTTCTTTCTGGTTGAAAAAAAAATCACCCAGTAGAGTGCAGAGTAAAAATATCCAATGGCCTTGTGAGCATGTTGAAATAAATTAATTCCAGTATTCAAATTAAGCTTCCCAACTGGCCTCTGGCCTTTCAAAAGCCAACAACAGACTGGAGAGACAATGGCGCTCCAGCAATTACGATGAGAATGTAAATGAACATGATTTAAATACCAGAGGCATGATAATTTTGGAAATGGCTAAATAAACCTAATAATCTCATTCCTGCAATGTTCAATTATGGTATTTTAATTAAAACCTCCTAAGGAGAGGGGTGGCTAGACACAGCCTACCTTAATTATCTTTATACTTAGTAACTAGTCTCAAAAAGAAAGGAAAAGAGAATGAAAGAAAGTTTCTGTTTCCAGGGAGATAAGTGTATTTTATTTTTGAATGGTAAAAGAGGAAATTTACGGAGCGGCTGTTGGGATTCAGCATTGTTTAGGGGCACCTGGAAAAAAAAAATGAGATTTGTCCTTTACTACTGGAGGATAAGATTGATATCTTTATGAAAAGATATTTCATATTCAAGGCCACAGGTCTGGGGTGGACAGACAAATCAATGGGCTCAAAGACATTCAAAGGAAAGAGATAATTGATTCAGGAGGTCAAATAGTTAACAAAGAGCCATAAATTATGAATAACGACAGGTAGGAACTCTCTGGGATTAAGGTATCAGGAAAGAAACACATGGAAAATAAATCTTAGAATATGAACTCCCAAATAAGACCGTTAAATGAAGATGGAAAAAAAATAATAAAAACTTACAAAGCATGTGACATGAACCCTTCCTCTAATGTATTACACACTTCGATACAACTCTGATATGTTCCAAGGGACAAGCAGATGAAACATGGCCTGTGGGTCCTTAAAGCCCTCAGGCTCTAGAAACAAAAGATGTTGATAGAGAAATCCTTTAGTAGTCACTGAAGGAAGCCCGGCCAGGCAGGCTGTTCCACAGAGAAGACACTCTGATAAAAGATAAAATAGAGATGCATTCCCCTCACCTTGGTTAAAAAAAAAAAATCCCAATTGCCTCCCCAGAGGGAGGAAATAAACGTCTTAGACTGGAGGGGTGCAGTTGACAGGAGATGCATCTTGCTAAGCATTGCTGGCAGAGTTCTGGTTAGCTGGAGAGATAACGTACCCATGCCCATGGCTTCTTGCGGAGGGGAGGGGAGGCCAGGCTCAGGATGGCAGGATTTAATTCAAGGGCGCTCACTATCAGGGACTTGGGCAGGCAGGGCCTCCCAGCTGAGTGAGATAAGGCCTTCCGTATCTCTGGAGCTGTGTTTGGGGGAAGGTTTAGCTACCACTGAAGGGCCCAGGGAGGTTTTTCTCCTGCTGCTTTGACAGGGAACTCTGGGGATGGAGCTACAGGCACAGAAGACTTGACTGGCGCTCCTGAGTGACGATCTGCATCGTTCAGAAGTTCGTGTCCCTCACTGAAATCCCCTCAGTGAGCTGCTAGATTTGTGTTTGGCCAACTTTAGTCAGTCACAGCCAGGTCCACACCAGGCAGCCTGGATCCCTTGCTGGGCTCTGGCCTGAGCGGGGTGGGTCTGCACCCTCCACGGTGGTGCATGCAAGGGTGGTGAGGTCCTAGCACAGCCCTTCTCTGTGACCTTCTTCTCAGGGCCTCCCAGCCTGGTCACTGCTGTCTTAACTGCCCTGTTCCACACTGCTTCTAGCAGCCCTTATCAGTCTTATAAACTACCTATCATACAGAGGAGGTGACAATTACGTGGTGTTTGTACCTGTCATATCTCACTCATCATGGTAGTGTCCATTCCTCACAGGGGCTCAACACACCAGATCCCCCACACATCGTAACTAACTTTGATCTTCTCTAAAGTACTCACTCAGAACAGTCTATGTTTTAACCCTTGGGTGCCTGGGAGTCCCTTTTGCACATGGGGGAGTCCCTCTGAATGACTGCCTTAAGTTGGTATTACTGGTGAGAGGGCAAGATTCATAACTAACTGATGTCTAGAGATTGGGGGCAAAATTCTCATGTCCTCAAAAGACATCTGGCTTCATGTCAGAAATGACAAGGACCATCATGTGCAATGGGCTTGGGCTGCTTTAAGCAGGGAAGGGATAAGGATGTTCTATCCCTACATTTAGCTAAGGAGACTGCTGCTAGATCTAGGCTTTCCCAAGGGCTAGGGCTCGAGTACCAGCATTTCTAGGACTGCGGTCGGGCAACCTTACTCTCCTGGGGCTTGGACTCTGGCTGCTGTTGGACGAGCAGTGTCCGAGCAGTGTGCTGATGGGAGGCCGCTTTCCCGACAGAGAAGCATTCATGGTCATACGGCACTTTCCTCTCGGCACCCACCTGTCGGGTAGTGTTTTTACATTCTCCCTAATTAGTTTTCTTCAGTAGCTCTTGGATGGCTCCTGCACTCTGTAATTATTTCTTTCACTGGCACTTATGCCGATACTGCACCCTTTGCCTGATAATTACTGTAATTATAGTCACTGTGTTTGAATTTGGTGCCTGTGTGATAAACGGTTTTATTATATGTGTTTGATGGGAAGTGATTCCTAAGTGGGCGTCCATAGGAAGTTATTGAGGTACTACTCAGAGATGTGTTAAAATGTTTTTGGAGAATAAATAACGTGATGAAGTAATAATGTGATGGGGAAAGAGCTGGGAAGAGAGAGGAGGGGCATGCTGAATTCAAGAACTTATTCACATACACAGTCTATCTCCTGGCATCCTGGGGCCTCAATGTTCGTTAATGGAGTTTGTTAAGCCCTCAGTACCATGCTGGTTAGTGTGTGTGTGTGTGTGTGTGTGTGTGTGTGTGTGTGTGTGTGTGTGTGTGTGTGTTTTGTTCAACTTGACACAAGCTAGATTTACCTGGGAAGAGGGACATTCAATTGAGAAAATGCCTTCATCAGATTGGCCTATAAGGAAGTCTATAGGGCATTTTCTTGATTAATGATTGATAGGCAGATGGTCCCGAGCTGTATAAGAAAGCAGGCTGAGCAAGCCATGGGGAGCAAGCCAGTGAGCAGCGTTCCTCTACGGCCTCTGCTTCCGTTCCTGCCTTGAGTTCTTGTCCTGACTTCACTCAGTGACGGACTGTGAGCTGTAAGATGGACTAAATCCATTCCTCCTCAGGTTGCTTCTGCCCGGGGTTTGGTCACAGCAGAAGACAGCAAACTAGGGCAACTGAAAGTGGGCAGGTAGCTAAGAGGAGAAAGAAAGGCAAGGTGGGTTCCTGGCGTGCACTGGCTACCGAGGCTCAGCCTTTTAGAGGTCATTGGACTCCGATGCAGCACTGGGTTCCTGGAAACCTATGTGACTCTTAGGAAATCATTGTGTGTGTTTTCCCCCACCTCCCAAAAAAAAGCCCCAGGACTTATCTCTACTTCTTTGCCACCAGAAGAGTTGGTAGACGAAGACAGAAGCAAACAAAATTTAGGATCTGGTTTAAAAGCTATGCCCTCTGGGAAGCTCTTGGGTCACTTGGCCACCTTCCACTCTTGGAGATCTCGACTGTTATGTGCCTGCATGCTTCAGTTCCGAGGGCTATGGAGGCAGTCTGGGCCTCCAGTCACCCAGAGATCAAACCCTTACGTTTGCTCAGCACGTCCTGTGGGGTCCACTAAGCTATCATAATCAAACTTCATTTGTCTCACTCCTCCCAAGTACTATGCTAAGTGCTCTACATCATTATTTTACCTAATCCTCCCACCCATTCTTTGAGCTGTATTCTAGAATTATTTCTATTTCAGGTGAGTGACAACTTGCCAAAATCACACATCAGTAAGGGGAGAGCTAGGACTTCTAGCCGGACAGGCTTAGTCCGGGGCCTGCATCATCCCGTCTCCCCATTTCTACAAGTATTTAGGTGGCAGAGGGTGTGTAGTCAGTGCTAAAACACCTCCACCTCCATCTTAGCTGCATCCTGATGACATGCTGCTCATCAAATTTGACGTTTCCTAGAGCCAGGGGGCTCTGGGGCTCAACAGAGTGTGATTCGTGAGTTCTTTTAGCATCTTCTATTCCAGATGTCAACAGATTCTTTCTTTGAACTCCTTACAGAAGGTAAGCTCTTCAAATCATTATTGCATCCTTCAGCTGACTATGGGGTTCCTTCCATACCAAATCCCTGGGATGGATATGATCAGGATGAGGGTCCTGATAGGCATGTGGATCTTAGCCTAGGAGGGGAGAGCAGGTAAGGCAGGCTCACCTGGACACACATACTCCTTCTTCTGCACATCTGCCACATTGAAGCCTCTCAGGTGCACGGGAGCCATGCAGAGGGTGAACTGGCCAACTGTCCGCCGCTGTCTCAGCCAATCCGAGAGCCAGGCCAAATGACAATCACAGTACAGATGGTTGGAGTGGAGACGCCTGGGAGAAGGAGAGAGGTACCATTACACAGAGAAGAGAGTGGGCTAGACCTCTGGTGCCCTTGTCCCCAGCATGATCATTTACACGAGCCTAGGGCAGCATTCCTGACTCCCATGCACAGGAAAATAATGAGAAGCCACTAATAGCTTCATGTGCAGGCCAAAGTCAATAGATCTGATCCTGGAGGTTTTGAGCAATTTCCATGTCTTCATAGTAATTCTGTTCTTTTCCTTTCTGTGCAAGCAAGCATCAGCACAGAGGAGGGGGGGGGGGGACACCACTACAGTGTGGTGACAGAGAATGACACCACACATCCTGGTGTGAGTCATACAGGGTGACTCTGCCGCACTGGAGTGCAGGACTTACGGCTGGCCTAGATGGAGTTCTGCTTCCCCCTCCGGTTCTGTGGGGCTGTGGGGCTGAGATCTGCTACAGCCTCCGCTGCCTCTGCTTCATCGCCTCTGTATCCTTTATGATTCCACAGCATGAAATGTGGGGAGCTCTAAGCCAGTGCCAACCATGCACTCCAGGCAGGGTGAGGAGGCACAGAGAGAAGGGGCTTTCTGAGGGCATCCCTTCTCTCTACCCTCCTGTTAAAGAAGGTGTTGTCCAGAGAAGGGTCTCGTGATCTTTCTCACTCTCTCCATGGTGCCTGCCTTCTCTTTGCAAAGATCTATTTTAACTGGTGATTTCCTCCTCTGACTGATCTAGAGGCCTCTGGAAAGACTTCCTGACCACTTCTACACTACGGCTCTTCAGTGGGAGCTGTGATTCCAGATCACTTTCTTGCTCTTGAGTGGGTAAGATTCCCTAGACGACCCTCCTGTTCCACTTCTGAGGGGAATCCCCTCTGGCTAAGTCACTTGAACTTCCTCTTCTGAGCTGGGAGGCAACCAGGGCACTCAGGAGCTTCTAGAGGGCCCTCCTTAAGGACTTCATGCCAGCATTTCCAACGTTCACATTCCCTACAGTTGTTAGAATTGGTGATGCGTGAGTTTTAGTAGCATGGGACTCAGGTTTCTTTGTAAATTTCCAATGGGTAATCCTGGACACGCTAATCAGCCAGCTGCTACCTTGGGACCGTCGAGAGCCCTGTGTCAAACCCATTAATACAGCGCAGCAGCCCAGAGGAGTGGCTTGGATCAAGTACTATAATGGGAGAACTGAAGGGCCCTTGTCCACATCCCACTTAGCACAAGGTCAACATTGTCGAACACTAGCCAAGTGCGGCTAACACAGGCTGTGTGCTGCTGAGCCTTTGGTCAGCAGTGGGCCCAGAACCCCAGCAGACCAGGTCCACTGGGGCTTGGCTGCCCCAAACCCATCATTCCAGGAGGGTTAAATGAACCCCAAACTTACATAAAATGTAAAGCATTTTTTTTTTGCTAAAAATACCTGTAGATATGAAGTACTTTTTGTATTTCAGAGTTAAATCAGATATACTTTCAGAAGCTCCAAGGCCCTAGACATAGAAACTATAAGGTCCCAACACATTTTCCCCCTTTAGTTTCCAAGCCCAAACCCTCTGAGCTAATGCAAGCATGCCCCCCCGCCCAAGCCTGGATTCTGAATACCATAAAACAGTTGGGAAGGGCACTATGGTCAAAGTCCCAAGCCAGAGGGAAATACCTCAATTGGAGGAGGGTAGGCAAGACCCCTGCTTACTAATGAGCATGATCACTTGGTGCCAAGAGCAAAGGAAAGACTAGTTACCATTTTCTAAATGGCAGGGAAGAGACGAGGGATTTTCCTATCAGCCCCTATCAGGTAGCAGTGATGCCTGGGCACATACCACAGTGGTTCTGTGCGGGATAGGAGGAGCACAGGGCAGCCTGTGGTGCAGTGTAGGTGGAGGGGAGGGGATTCTGTGTGTGCCAGGAGACTCAGCCAGTTAAGCCCTTGCCTTTTATGTGCCGTTTGGTAGTAATGCAATGACTTTAAGACACAGAGATGACTTCAAGACAAGCATGGTCTCCGAGGTGGCTAAATCAGAACACGTTCCCATCAGCTGCAACTGAGGGTGAAAGTTTAGCAGCAAGCACAAGGTTTAGGCATGCCCGGGTTTAGTCGGGTGCTTCATTTCTGGGTTTAACAAAAAGTTGGAGGCTTCTCTTTTGAAGATGGTGTTAAGTGAGTTTTTTCTCAGCCCCAGCAGCCAGCCCCAAGTCACCGCTCTTCTCAATCTTGTTACAGATGCTTCTATCCTTCTATCTTCTTGAGACCTTCTCCATCCCAATGTGGGAGCATGGAAAAATAGCAACCTCAACTGATACAGAAGCCACATGGAACCCTAATCAGAAAGCCCTGGCAGGAGACAGGCTCGGCTCCCTCTGCTAGGGATATGACCTATCAGAAATGATGGCGGATTCTTTAAAGTCATCTTTCACACCATGCTTGGAAGATAAAAGGAAGCAACACAGCTCCAGACACTAAGTATGCTTTTTGTTTGTACGTGTATCTGTGTGTATGATGCATGAATATATGGTGTGTGTGTGTGTGTGTGTGTGTGTGTGTGTGTGTGTGTGTGTGCGTGAATGTGGCTGTGCATGTGCCACAGAGCATGGAGGTCAGAGGACAACCTAGGGTGTCAGTCTTTGGCTTCTATTGTATCTGAGACAGTCTCTGTGGCCTGCCATCGTGGAAGCCAGGCTAGCTGGCTCATGTGCTTCTAGGGGTTCTCCTGTCTCTTGCCTTCCATCTTGTCCTAGGTGCCCCAGAATTATAGACCAGTTGTGTACTATCATGCTGGCTTACTAAGGACTATTTTTTTTTTAAAATCATGAGCATCGTGAAATTTGATGTGGCAATTGCTAAGAATGGTTCAAATCCTCTGAGTGGGGAGGGAAATTATTTAATTATGTTCCACAGTTTTAAGTTGTGAGGGTGATGCCATAGGGTCCCTGGACCACGTGGAAGCTCTGGTTTCTCCTTGCTCTGCTCATCCGGCCGCAGGTTCTTCTGTTTTCCAACCCTCTGGGTGATCTGAGCTCTGGCTCCGATGTCCCATTATCTAATACTGGCACTGGTTCCAGCTTTCTGACTTTGACCTTTGGGCAGTGACTTCCTTCTAGGCCTCAGTGCTACCAGCTATAAAATGGGAAGAAGGACTGTTCCGTGGGCTGAAGTAACACATAGGGAGTGCTTCACACAAGACCTGGCACACCGTAGGACCACGGAAGAAACATTCGCTGTTACCTTGAGTCCACGAACAGTGGATTTCAGTGTCTTCCCAAACCACGGCCCTGCCTGTCTGTGGCTGCTGCTGCTGCTTATACAGATGTGAAAGCAGCCGGGTGCATACTGCTTGTGATCTTTTGAGGATGGACACACCGTATTCCACACAGATGAGACCACCTCTGTGTGGCAGAAGGTGAATGGACACAAATGCCAATTTACAAAGGGTGCCTTTTAGCCACAGATGCCAAATTAAATTTCCAGCAAATCCTTTTAGAGAGGGTCAGTGTTCGTTTTCCATCAAATTCTGCTTTCTGGATTCTGTGTCAAAGCTTTCCTTTGGAAATCCCATTGACGACTTCCTTCCCCTCTCCTCCTCCTTCTTCTCCAACACCAGTCACCCACCCCCAACGCTTTAATTACAGTGAAGGGGGATTAGTCACTTCGTCCCCAGGGAGTTCTGTACAGAGCCATCTCTGAATTAAACTAAAGAGAAAACGGCAGCAGGCAGAGAGCAAAGGGACAGACGAGATTGATTGATTGATCTGAACTCATCAGACGGATATTCGGTACCATAGAGAAAAATCACAAGAGAAAGAAGATAAAACTCCTCGCCCACTTCCTCTCCTCAGCGTGCCCCAAGCGGGCACCCAAGTTAGCCCAGGCTAACCACCTCCCTCAGCTCTCATGGGCCTAGCGTCTCTCTGTCACTGCTGTTGAAAAAGACACAGAGGGAAGCCTGTCACAGAGGAGGGGTCAGGAGGTGCTGCAAGGCTGTGTTCTGTAGTGAGAATTTCTGGGTACCCACTCCTCTGGGAGAACAGACCCAGTATCCCCAGGCTCACTTTTGACCTCCCGTTTTGGAACCTGGACTCCGTGCTTCCTCAGCTTGATTGTGGTTTGCTGGGTGCTCAGCAGACCAAATGGAGTCTCCTTAAAATTCCATTACTGTACCGTCCCGTTTTCAGAGGAAGGGAAATGACTCATTTTCCTAGGTGTGCTGTCATCTGAGGGTCCCCGACAGGAATCTGGGAGCGGAGATGGGGGCGTGGTCTGGGATGCTAATTACTGATGATAACTAACACTTCTGTGCACACGTGTAATGAGCACTTCCCGTGTCACATCACAGTGCACCATCACAGTGACTCTACCGTAAACATGTATTATTAAGTCCCTGACCCAAAGCACAGAAAGATGAAGATATGTCCTAAGTAAGGGGTGGAGCCTGCACGGAAACTCAGATCTGCCCGCTCCAAAATGCTCTGCACTGCTTTCTTATACATCCCTTCCTGGGTCTTGGTTCCACTCTCACCTAGAGATAAGCTCACTCTCGCAGGAATGCAATGGCTTCCAAACTATAAGAGCACGGAGGCTCATTGCCAACAGATTTATGGGCAAGACACCAAGAGGTCCCCACCCCATAGGTCTGGGGTGGGGCTGGGGATTTTTGGTTTTGGAGAAGTTACAGATGGTTCTGAGCTGCTGGTCTGGGGAGTACTGCTTACAGGATTCTCCATTCTCTCGGATTTCATGTTGCCTGAGGAGCACAGAGGAGCAGTCCAGATTTCTAGATAATTGTGTGGTGATATAATGCCATCTATTATCTCCCGGGTGATGGGCACTGTATGTGCTTAGTTCCATGTGCTCTGCACCAGCAGCCATATTTATAGAGGAAGGAAAAGCAGACATAGAGCCAATTAAGGGCAAAGGGCATTTCCGTTCTTTGCTTTGGTCCTAAATGTGCGTGGCTAAAAGCTGTCAGGGGCTGGCTCTGCCTCTCTACTGTGATGCAAACACCCAGAAAGATAAGAACATCAAGCAGGAACCTCTTTGGAAAAGCCAACCAGGTTCTAACGCAGAAAAACTTACAAATGGGTGCCTGGCTCAAAGTAGAGTGCCCCAAATAACAAGAGGCATGGGCATGCTTCTGGAGCATCCAATCCGAAGGTTTAATCTTATCCAGGGCACAAAAGGATGACGTACCAAGTGAGTGTATATCCAAATGTTGCTCAGAGAGCAAGAGGCATGTAGCAGGTGGCACCTTGGTGGGACAGAAAGGACAAAGATGCCTCCTCCATTCCCAGAAAGGAAAATCATATTCTGACAGAACCACCAATGGGATACAACATGAATGAAGTCAAGTGGAGGTGGTGGTGGTGGTGGGGGGGTTGTCTCATCACATAAGTTTTCTGTTTTTAAGTAAGTAGCTTTTGGCAACACAAAACTAACCAATTTCCTATCAAACACAACAAACCCTGTGCAGGAAGGCTCCTTACAGTTTTAGGGTGATAAGAAATGAGTTTTCCTGGCACAGCACGGCAGCTAGGAATCATGGCTGCACCATGGCCCTGCCCTGCACCTGCTTCCTCCACTAAGTCCCCACTTGCTTTATGACTTTGGGTATGGGGACTGTGTGCCCGGCAGGCTTCACAGCCAGTGACAGCAGCACCTGAGCAGGCTTAAGGCAGGAGAGAGGTGGAGAGGAAGCAGTCTTTACTCACAGAGTCCGAATCTTCGGCATGTGGTTGAAGCTGGTGACTAGGATGCGGCTGATGTTGTTGTTGTTGAGGGTGCTGCAGAGACAGAGAAAAAGAAGTTATGAATGAGGGGCACTGAGATGTTCTTAAGTGTTGGGGGGGAATGGATATGGCTGTAAAAAAAGTCAACAACTAAGAACCAGAGCATCCAAGTGTCTAGAGACAAGAGGAAACGCTCTAGATGATGGGGGAATCCACAGTCCTGATTCATGTAGGTTCCCCTGTCACCCACGAGCAATAAATCCCTAACTTAATCTTGCTATGTGATGAGTGCCTCATTATACTATCTTTCATTCTTCTTGTTTTGAAAAATTCACTGTATTTTGAATCATGTGTACGCACATATGTGTGAGTATGCACATGAGTGCTGGTGCCCACATAGGTCGGAGGCATTAGCTACCCCTGGAGCTGCCTAGCATGGGTGCTGTGAAAGGAACTTGGGTCCTCATCAAGAACAATACACACAATGAATGGGAGCTGTTTCTCCAGCCCCAGCATCTTTAACGCCTACCGGGATAAGTCAGTTACATGCCACTGTTCTCTTTTAGGGAGAGGGAAAATGTACCCTTTTGGACTGGTAGAGCAGAACCCCCAAAGGAGATGTCATACTCTTGTTACAGATGAAGAGGCCGAGCCGTAGCCAGGCAAGGCAACTTCACAGCTTTGCCATTGCTGCTCAGCTCCGCAGGCGGATGGGACCAAGCCCCCTCTCACCTCATTCTGGTTTTGCTCACTGTACACACTGCCTTGCACATGATGCTATCTTGACAGGCTGATCTGTGTTTCCCAGGCCTCTTCTGGTCCTTCAAGAGTATCTTATCTCAAGAGGGACTAGCTCTCCTGTTTCTCGTGCTCTCCTTGACCATGGATGGAGTTACCACTGGGCAATGTTAGTCCCTTCGGCAGGGAAAAGCATAGAGAAAGATGTGAGCTGTACAAACAGAACTAATGAAATGCAGCTGCTGAAGAGTTGAAATCAGGATCTAAGAAAGTGCTGCCTCGGTTTACCCGCTATGACACCCATTATGAAGGAGAATGTGGCAGCGAGGGAAATCTCTGCGGGGGCTTCTGCAGTTCAGGTAGGCGACTACACACTGGGACGTGACCAGGAGTGGGAAGGCCAGGTGGTTCTCCGGCTCCGACCCCACACTTGCATTGCTTCGCATTCTAAAGAGCAAGAACTGGATCCAGCCTTTGGTCTGTTCCTTCCTGCTGCCCGCTTGCTCCTGGACCTTTCTTTTCTCTCATCTTTCCAGAGACCAGATCTCACTCTCATCAGCCCAGATTCTCTCACTCTTCTTTGGCAAGCACAGATCTTCACTGGCTTTAAGAGGAGCCATCGTTAGGGCTCTTGGTAAACATATCACTTTTCCTTCCTTCCTTCCTTCCTTCCTTCCTTCCTTCCTTCCTTCCTTCCTTCCTTCCTCTCTTCTTTCTTTCTTCCTTTCTGTCTTTCTGACACAGAGTTTCTCTGTGTAGCCCTGGCTGTCCTGGATCTTGATCTATAGAGCAAGCTGTCCTCGAACTCAGAGATTCAGACTGCTTCTGCTCCACCCCGCCCAGAGCTGTAATTAAAGGCATCCACCACCACTGCCTAGCTAAAAAATGTGTAGCCTTGGCTGTCGTGGAACTCGCTCTGTATACCAAACTGGCCTCAAATTCAGAGGCTCACCTTTTTCTTAAAGCACCTTCTCTGTGAGCTACCAACATAGGGCGCATAGTATGTACTCAGTAAACAGAGCTCATCGATTTCCCAACTGTGTTGGAGAGAATCGTGCCCTGTCCTGTAGTGATCTATCCCTCACCTCAACCTTCCAAAGAGAAAGAGTGCTTCATTCAAACACCATCACCCCAAGCATCAACCCAAGGGGTCTTCCCAATTCTCCGGCCCTTGTGACCTTAGTCCCAAGCAGGGTTCCAGTGATCACACTTGCCACTCAAACCCACTCCTCAAATGCTCTGGTCTCTCCATTACTTGCTTGGTAGGTAGAGAGTAGGGAGAGCACAGAGGAAAAGAGCCCAGTTCTTGCTCCCCTACCCTCTGACATCCACTGGACACCCACGACGTGTTCAGCCTATGCCAGGCATCAGCAGAGGGGAACACACCCGTTTACAACGGCTTGTGTCTGTGTGCCTCACGCAGCTGCACCAGTTCAGAAGTGGAAACTTTTTGGCTCTTTTGGGTAGATACTCCCCACACCAACTGGTTTTTGTGCATGCACGTGTGTGCATCCTGTCTCTGTCCACCCAAGGAAGCCTTCGGAGCCTTTTTATCGGGCAACACTAAGAAAGAATTCACCAACCTCATCAGGCTGAGTTCTGCTGGATCAAGGAAGTCTCCGGGACAGAAGCAATGCTGTCTCTTCTTCTATCATCTCAGAATTCTGCTCTGCACTTCGAGGGCGGCATTATGTGCAAGGCAGTGCATACAATGAACAAAGCCAGGAAGGGAGCAAGTGAGCGCTTGGTTCAGATCCCAAGAGTTCACAGCCAGCCCTCGCTTGGCTGCAGATACAGGGCAGCTAACATTCAGGCTTCAGCTGGAACCGTATCCAGCAGCGGCCCAGCAGCAATGACTTATTAACGTATTACTACACTGATATTTAAATGTGAGCCGTAATGAGAGCTATAAAACATTTACGATAATAGCAATTATTCCAGAACCCGAATGACTAAACACAGTATTCACACTTTCATGATTTGCTGCTGGAGGCTGGCTGGCCCGGGGATGTCAGAAGGTTGCTAACCTCTTAGACACTGATTGCCCTGGAAGCTGCGGTTGCTGTTTTGGTAAGAAACACAGATTCATTTGATTTCTTGCCTTGGCAGCTTTGGCCCAGGGAGGGAACACTGCGCTCTGTCTGGCTCTTAGGTCCTGCCTAAGCATCTGGCATTCAATGGGAGAGTTGGCATGAGGTTCCCCGTGCAGAGGGGCAGAGCTGGTGAGCATGGGCCTCAAAAGGCAGAGCCCTTGTTAGAGTCTGGCGCTGCCTTTTATAGCCCACGTCACCGTGGGTAACTTTCTCAATCTCATTACCTTTCTCCTCTGCAACACAGGGGTAATAATAATGATCTCACAGAGTGCAGGCTGTGATGAAGTGAGACGGCACCAATCCCCAGGATTAACCACGAGATTCTTGTACGGAGGTAGGCTCGAGAGCCTACCATTCAATTTCTCTCATCCAGGGGTGGAAAGGTGACTGAGTTGGTAAACTGTTGGCCTTGCGATCACGAGAACCTGAGAGTGACGCCTAGAACTCACACCAATTCCTCCTGTTACCCTACGAAGCAAGGAGTAGTGTCAAGACTTGAATCTAAGCAAGTCTGACCTCAGGGATGAGATCTGTATAGGCTTCCTGTTGCTGCCACAACAGATGAACATGACTTTGTTAGCTTGAATTTTTTCTCCTACAGTTTGGAGGTCCTAAACCTAAGGTGGGTCCATGGGAGTGGACTTCTCAGGAGTCTTTGGGGGTGGAGATCTGTTTCCTCTCTATCGTAGCTTGAAGGGGTTGTCTACATTCCTTGATCCATGCCTCATTCCTGCATCACTCCGGCGTCTTAGGATCTCATAATAATGACTTATTCCCCTTCTCAGGAGGCTTGTAGATTACAGAATACAGATCTGCTCACAAGATCATTAATTTGGTCCCACTTTTAAGGGCCCCTTTTACCACTTAGTGTGACACCCACAGACTCCTGGGATGAGGATGCGGCGATCTTTAAAGAGGCCATTATCTAGCCAACCACCAATCTCTTGAAACAAGGTATATAAAGCACAAGGTATATATGGGGCAAGGCTCCGAACTGGCTTTCAGTGATTGTCACCGTTGTTACTGTGGCTTGTAGTTAGGCCTTTCCTCCATGGCTTCACGGAGTCCCATCTGATACAGCTAGCACTCTGAGGTCAGGATTGTTACCCCCATTTTAGAGATGAGCATTCAGAGGCCAGGAGAGGCTGAGGGTTCTGCATGGGCAGCACACTAGCTGTTGGTGAATTCTGGGCTGGCTGTTCTTTCTTCTCACCTCATTTTTCCTGACTCACCCACTCGCTTGCTGCCCTTTGCTTTTAGGCGAGGTGGCTGATGCTGCAGTATAGCTCCTATCTGTCACATCTACTCTGGGCCCCAAGCTAGGAAATCTGCATAAGCCTCCTGTCACCTGTTTTATAAGCCTTAGCCTCAGAAAACAAAAGGCTCCCTCTGCCAGTGCCACAGTCCCCACTTCTCCACCATTGGTGGCCTTCCTGTGCTACAGCTGACATTGTCAGCCTCATGTATTTACCTCCATCCCCCCCCCCCCCAGAGGCCATGCTTGTTCCTGGGTCTACCTTGAGCCCCCTCACTTTGCTCTTCTGAAGCTATGCGGAGAAAAAGTACTTCTCCCAAATTATCCAGGTAAGATTGGAGGTTCCCCCCCGCCAAGGAAATACTATTAATTCAGCATTTTCCTTTAGGTTTCAAGCTCACATCTGGGGTTAAACTTATTCTGTTAATTTCTTTTTCAATTCTAATTGAAATTTTATGTGTATGGGTGTTCTGCCTGCATGTCAGTCTCTTTATCACTTGCATGCCTGGGCCTGTGGAGACCAGAAGGTGTTAGAGCCCCCGGAACTGGAGTTAGAGATGATTGTAAGCCACCATGTGGTAACTGGGGAATCGAACCCGGACCCTCTGGAAGAGCAGCGAGTGCTCTTATCCACCAACCCATCTTTTCAGACAAGATTCTGTTACATTTAGGAGTATCTGGTCTCCCTCATTTCCAACCACCCCAAAGGACACTTCAATCTGAATCCTATCGGGAATGTCTCCCTTCCTCACAGGGTTGAAATGACAGCCCACCTGCTTCCCACATCTCTCTTTTTAAGTCCTTACCACATTATAAATACTGTCTACAATACCAGTCCAGTGGCCCTGACGTTCTGTCATACTAGGAGCACAGCTGTCTAATAACAGGTGACTGATGTCACATTTGACTGTGAGTCCCATGATTCTGAGCACCAGAAAGGGTCTATTCAATTTTTTACTCCAGGGGCT